TAAAATTCGTTGCCTTGAATTATTCCTCCGTATTTTAAATAGTTTTTTCAAAAAAAGTCATATCATTAAGCGAATAACTGCATCAATAGTTAATTACAAAAGTCCTTCATAGCATAACTACATTTTAAATAAACCTGAAAAAATGCATAAACGTGTCTACCAGTGTGTGTGTAGTATGTATTTACATATATTAATGTACAGTGAGCAGTTATTGCGCAGTACTCTCAAAACCGGTAATCCAATATCCGTGAAACTTAAAGATACAAAAAAAAACTTTTTCGATGTTGTTAAACACAATTTGCATAAAGATAAAGCGTATTTGATTGTTGAAAATTTATTGTACAGTAAACTGTAGTCATTGTACGTTTTATCAGACAACCATAAAAATACTTACGAATATAGATAACAGCAGTATATAACTACATTGTTTGATTTAGAAAGATTACTTATAAAATCTTTATATATGTTATTGAGAAGTAAGGTATCTTCTTTCTTATTAATTGTGTGTTTAGTAAAGTGTATGTATAGCATTTCAGATATTAATCTTTTTTGTCTATTAGGTTCACGGTCTAGAATCTTTGTTTGGGAAAAATTAAAATAATGGTTGAATTTTTTCATGTGCGGAGTGACAACAAGTTCATCTTTCTTGGTACTTTTATGTTCATTCAGGCGTTTTTTCAATGCTTTCTTTGTTTCACCTACATATGATGCAGAGCAAGAATCACATGCAAAATGATACACAACATTGGTTTGATCGAGCTTATCAATCTTGTCTTTCTCAAGAATGATAACACTGTCCATTTTATTTTGAATAATAGGGTAAATTTGTATATTTAATTTTTTCAAAATTTTTGAACAAAATTTGAAGAATAATGGTATATATCGAATAGAAATTTTTATTTTATTACGTAGATTGTCATTTAGTAGGTTGTTATTATCATTATTAGTATTTTTTATTTGGTGAAGTCTTTTCTTGATATATTTTCGTATGAAAAGTTCAGTATGATCATTATCACGTAAAATTCTTTTTGCCATGAGAATATTCTTTCTGTGGTATAATTTATCAGATAAAAAAATAACTTGATCAACCAAATTGTATACTTCATTGACTTTTAAAGATCGGGGGTGGTTAGAATTGAAATTAATCAATCTATTCGATGAAATTGGCTTGACGTACCAATTCGTGATTATTTTTAAGTTTTTATGTGTAATTGTTATGTCTAAGAAATGTATACTATTATTTTTCTCTACTTTGCAGGTGAATTTTGAGTGATTGTCCTGTTTGTTAAAAATCTGTAAAAATAATTGTGCCTGATCTTTATAAACACAAATGAGAGTGTCGTTAACGTATCTTTTATATATGAAGGAAACGCAATTATGATTTTCTTTTAACACGCGTAGGGCTTCCGTCTCAAGATCTTCTAAAACTAAGTCAGCGAATAGTGGAGAGACAGGAGAGCCCATAGGGCTACCAAAAATCTGTTTATAAAATTTTTTATGAAAGGTGAAGTAAACATTATTGAACAAAAATTTTGTGCATTCTATAATTTTATGATAAGGAATTTTTGATAATCTGTGGATTTGCATGTATCTTTCTTCCAAACTATTTATGACTGACTCTAACGAAATATTGGTAAATAAAGAAATAACATCCAAAGAAATAAAAATATGATTTTCCGGTATTTTAAGATTTTTAATTTGTTTTATAAGTTCAACGCTATTATTTAAATGTAAAGAAGGTTTTTCAAAAACTTTAGAAAGAGAATTATAGAGAATTGAGGTGAGTGTGTGTGTAGGAGAATTAATGGATGAAACAATCTGTCTAAATGAAAAGGAATGTTTACGTATTTTTGGCAACCCATAACATCTAGATAAATTTGTATTGGTTTGCGTTAATTGATTGTTATGATGTTTAAAATTTAAAAATTCGTTGTTGTTCAGTTTCGTTAAAATTTTGTGGACATCTGATTCTAAATTGTGTAATGGATTCTTATTAATCATTATGTAAGTAGTGTTGTCATTTAACATCAATTCCATGTTCTGCACATATACGTTTCTGTCAAGGCCAACAGTCACATTTCCTTTATCTGAACGAGTAAACAAAATATTTTTGTTCTCTCTTAGGAACGCTTTTGTACATTTTAAATTGAAAGTATTCGAGTGTTCAACGTTGTCAAGTTTTAATTTTTTTTTTTTCACACATTTTCATGGCTTGAGTGATTTTTGTTCTTATTTTACTTTTTAATTCACTATTGAGATCGTTGATTTTCCGCAAGCTATATTCTACATTCTTAATTGTTTGAATAATTTCACTATTTGACAAAGATTGTGTTTTTAACGCAAATTTTGGTCCTAAAGCTACGCAATTTTTTACGTTTTCCGGTATATCAAGATCTGTTAGATTTCGGAACATTTTTTCTTTTTTGTTGTTAGTATTGTAAAGGTTCTGGTTACATAACTTTTGTATAGATAAAAANGCTATATTCTACATTTTTAATAGTTTGAATAATCTCACTATTTGACAAAGATTGTGTTTTTAACGCTAATTTTGGTCCTAAAACTAAGCAATTTTTTACGTTTTCCAGTACATCAAGATCTGTTAGATTTCGGAACATTTCTTCTTTTTTGTTGTTATCATTGTAGGGGTTCTGGTTACATGACTTTTGTATAGATAAAAATTTTTTATTATATGTACGATTGAGTTTCTGTCTTTTATGTCTATTGTTAAAATATATACTACTTATGAAACTTTGAACTAATAAATTGTTAGAATGCAGATTATTTATTATTTGTCTATTAGTAAAAATATTTCTCTTAAGAACGGACACATGTGCATAACAACTTGTTGTAAAAGAAAAAATTATTAAAGTACCTTTTCAGATTTTCTGTGTGTTGAGGCAAATAGTTGTGCGTCCTACATTTTCTTAAGAAGGACAATTGGCCCATACAATGAGTCAAGTTGCTGTGTAGTTTTTGCAAGGTCCTCAGCTTTTTAGCTAACGATGATCCATGAAGGTGTTCTACTCGTGTGAAGAATCCTTCCTGGAGTTGACCCCTTTCTGATCTGGGGGCGGATTTCATTACGGTGTTTGTTGAACGTGCTGTTCTGCTCCCAATTATTTCCATGATGTCTTGAGGTTTAGTGCATAAGCACACGATCAGTAAGAGCTAATTTAGGAGTGAGAATAAAAACTCCAAAGTCAGGTGTTAGTTTGAGCAACGTTTCGTTGGTCTTAACGCCAACTTCATCAGGCTCACTTTATTAACAGAAAAACACAACAAATTTCATAAATTACATTGCAGAGCCAACGTTTACAAATATCTACATTAATGCAAAAATAATTATAAGTAAGTAGTCATGAATAAAATAGTAATATAAATAATTATAAAATTGAACAATTACTCACGTCTATATCGTTAAGGCGATCGTTACTGACTGTTAGGCGCCTCGAACGAATAAAATAAGTGTCAAATATGTATGTATTAAGACATATACATATAAACAGTAAATGTACGCTTCTTACGAATATAGATAACAGCAGTACATAACTACATTGTATGATTGAGAAAGATTACTTATAAAATCTTTATATATGTTATTGAGAAGTAAGGTTTCTTCTTTCTTATTAATTGTGTGTTTAGTAAAGTGTATCTATAGCATTTCAGGAGTTAATCTTTTTTGTCTGTTAGGTTCACGGTCTAGAATCTTTGTTTGAGAAAAATTAAAATTATGATTGAATTTTTTCATGTGTGAAGCGACAACAAGTTCATCTTTCTTGGTACTTTTATGTTCATTCGTTTTGATTTTGTATAAGAAATAACATCCAAAGAAATAAAAATATGATTTTCCGGTATTTTAAGATTTTTAATTTGTTTTATAAGTTCAACGCTATTATTCAAAAGTGAAAAAGGTTTCAAACCAATCTTGTGTATCATTGTACATGTGATTCTTGCTCTGCATCATATGTAGGTGAAACAAAGAGAGCATTGAAAAAACGCCTGAATAAACATAAAAGTACTAAGAAAGATGAACTTGTTGTCGCTTGACACATGAAAAAATTCAACCATAATTTTAATTTTTCTCAAACAAAGATTCTAGATCGTGAACCTAGTAGACAAGAAAGATTAATATCTGAAATGCTATACATACACTTTACTAAACACACAATTAATAAGAAAGAAGATACCTTACTTCTCAATAACATGTATAAAGATTTTATAAGTAATCTTTCTAAATCATACAATGTAGTTATGTACTGCTGTTATCTATATTCGTCAGAAGCGTACATTTACTGTTTATATGTATATGCCTAAATACATACATGTTTGACACTTATTTTGTTTGTTCGAGGCGCCCAACAGTCAGTAACGATCGTCTTAACGATATAGACGTGAGTAATTGTTCAATTTTATAATTATTCATATTACTATTTTATTCATGACTACTTACTTATAAATAATTTTGCATTAATGTAGATATTTGTAAACGTTGGCTCTGCAATGTAATTTATGAAATTTGTTGTGTTTTTCTGTTAATAAAGTGAGCCTGATGAAGTTGGCGTTAAGACCAACGAAAAGTTGCTCAAACTAACACCTGACTTTGGAGTTTTTATTCTCACTCCTAAATTAGCTCTTACTGATCGTGTGCTTATGCACTAAATCTCAAGAAATCATGAAAATTGTATTGCATTTTGTGGTGTATGTATAAAAATACATTTCCTAAATTTTACTCACTGATGTCAAATAAAAAAGTTTTCATGCACTTTGAATTAGATAAACTTAACCGTTGCAATTATAGTACATTATTTTTGTCAGCAACATGAATCTTTTTGATTTATCTTAAGCTTTTTTGTAGTTTTAGGAAATTAGTGGTTATTAGTTATTTATATTTTATGAATTATTAAGAATTTTTGGGCTTGACAATAAGCAAAAAATTGTGAATAATTAAAAAAAAACTTTTTGCAATTTCAGGCAACTACCACTACTACATGATTGAAACTTTTGAAAGGAAGATGTCATCACACATTTAGGGCTCACAATAATCAGTAATCAGTATTGATCAAAGTATTTTTTATTGATTAAAATTTAGTACTAAGAAACAGGGTATCAATGTGACTTGATTAACAAGGTTAACGTTGAATTAGTTAATATAAAAAAATAGTTATGACTTTTATTCTGTTTTGAAAAGGATCATGAGTTCGTTACAGTCTGAGAGTACAGCTGTTAATCAAAGGAATTTAGTATTATTCGTTATTGAGGATTTTGAGAGCCAACTGAAGTTGTCCAGCTCATTACAACATAAAAATGAATTTGAAGAGTACAATAAAAATAACCGTGCAACATCTCATCTCTACCAGCAAGCTCCTTACTCTAAATTATTTACAATGAACCAAAATATTTTAAATGAAATAGAAAACGAAACAAGGAGGATAGCTACTTCTGTAGATTCGATAACTGAAAATTTATCTGCTATTCTTCACAGTGTAAGTAAATATTAATTGTGCAAAAACTTCTGAGAATTGAAAACAAAATTTTAATTTGAAATAATCGTTAATGTCTTAGTCATTACCTATATAGTTGTATCATATTTAAATATAAAATTCTTTTTTTATGTTAGAACAAATATTTGTATAATGTTTTGATACAATTTTTGTTTGAATAAAAAATAATTGTTGCTCTTTTAACTGTAATCCTGAATTATTTTTTAATAAGCTTCTAAAAATCTCAGCACATTCGTTAAAGTATTCTTTGACGATAATGATTTTTGTACTTACCTGTTTAGTTTAAAGTTAAGTCAAAGCTTAGTAAAAATATGAATAATGTTTTTCTAAATTTTTTCATTAAAAAAATACTTACTCCAGGCACTTTATAGTATGCTTACAAAACTATTTAGATTTTTTATGGCCTTGATCTATGTCATACGTAATAGTCTATAAAGTATTCAAAGTACTAAGAATTTTTGAGTCGAATGTTAAGGTAACACGAAAGTCAGTGACAACATTCTGTTGTTGTGCAATTTTTGGTCTCAATAATTTTATTTTTCTAATAAACTTGTGAAATGTATTTTGCAGTAAATATGTCAGCCCAAATAAAAGAAGCATAAGATTCAATTCTTAGAAAACGTAGTACAGTATTGTACTAGATTTGCAGTACATAAATTTGTGATAACAGTCTTAATAGTGAGTGTAAAAAAACGCTAGATGTTTCGAACATAAATAATGTAAAACTCTGAGTCTCAAGCAATATCTGGAAGTAGCATGGTGGTGCTTTTTTCAGTACTTATTGGAGATCACCAGANCTAAAGAAAACATAGTATTTTTTTTTTTTTTTTTTTTTTGCTACATTTTCATCTTATAAGTAAAAATTTATGAGTTACATAACATAAACATTTTCTGATAATCCTCATAGTAATGTAATAAAGTATTAAGTTACAGAATTATTACATTTTTCTATTCGGGACTGAGAGTAAGGGAAGGAATGGACTTGTGAATATTACGTCTTCTTCTTCTTCTTGGCCCCGGATTTTGTATTGTTAATTACTAGTCTATTAAGTGCATCAACATTTGCTGACACTCTCATCTCAAGGCATAGTTTATAGTGCCAGTCGTATTTTACCAAGTTGATTTTTTCCTGGCATGATGGGCAGATCTTTTTTAATTTCATTTGTGTTTTTCACAGAAGACNTTACCTATATAGTTGTATCATATTTAAATATAAAATTCTTTTTTTATGTTAGAACAAATATTTGTATAATGTTTTGATACAATTTTTGTTTGAATAAAAAATAATTGTTGCTCTTTTAACTGTAATCCTGAATTATTTTTTAATAAGCTTCTAAAAATCTCAGCACATTCGTTAAAGTATTCTTTGACGATAATGATTTTTGTACTTACCTGTTTAGTTTAAAGTTAAGTCAAAGCTTAGTAAAAATATGAATAATGTTTTTCTAAATTTTTTCATTAAAAAAATACTTACTCCAGGCACTTTATAGTATGCTTACAAAACTATTTAGATTTTTTATGGCCTTGATCTATGTCATACGTAATAGTCTATAAAGTATTCAAAGTACTAAGAATTTTTGAGTCGAATGTTAAGGTAACACGAAAGTCAGTGACAACATTCTGTTGTTGTGCAATTTTTGGTCTCAATAATTTTATTTTTCTAATAAACTTGTGAAATGTATTTTGCAGTAAATATGTCAGCCCAAATAAAAGAAGCATAAGATTCAATTCTTAGAAAACGTAGTACAGTATTGTACTAGATTTGCAGTACATAAATTTGTGATAACAGTCTTAATAGTGAGTGTAAAAAAACGCTAGATGTTTCGAACATAAATAATGTAAAACTCTGAGTCTCAAGCAATATCTGGAAGTAGCATGGTGGTGCTTTTTTCAGTACTTATTGGAGATCACCAGATTTGTCATATTTGTTAAGTGCTGTACCCTACAGCGCGTAAAATGCAGCCCATATTACGTTTTATTTTGAAAAAATTTAACTATACATGATTTCTTCTCAAATCTTCTGGATTAATTTAAAGATGCATAAAACATTTAAATAGCTTAAGTAACTCGTTGCTGCTGAGAAGGCTGTCTCAAAGCAAAGCGGGAAGTGCGCGTTTTGAACATGACTTGCTTTCATCTGGGCTAGGTGCTCGTAATTTTTATGCCTGTTTGGTAGTTTTAGGCATGCATGAAGTGGCTAATTTAGGTAGTCCCTGCGTTTACAAGTAATTGAACTACAGCTGTCTTGCATGTTATTTTAAATTTCCATTTAGACCTCATTTTTATTTTATTAACAATAAAGAAATTTAATGGTTCCAGACTCCATAGAATTTTCAGATGCATATTAATATAGTAGGTGAGATGTATTCTATGTGAGATCTCTCTGAATAAGCTGTAACAGGCTTGTTACTACTTATACACTGTTGTTTTTTTCAAACAATTGTTTTTTTTTTTTTTTTTTCATTACTTTCCTTTCCTCAAAATGAATATACGGTTTAAATATTACTTAGTTAGTTTTTTTGTCTTTACACTTTCGCCATGGAGAAATTATTGAAGAAACACGTTTTTCTATAGCATGAAGAACTTTTTTAACAACTCTACCACAAAAGTAGGTGTTCAGAGACGAATCTTCGAATGTTTCAAAACCCGTTTAGATATGCTCGAAAATTATTGGTCTCAGTTTTTGAATTGCATGGAGAGTAGACAAGGTTAGCTTATTGGAACAGGATTATTTTAAATCGGATCATTTTTCAGTGGTAGAGGATAATTTTTCCTAGGTGAAATCCGTTGTTTTTTAACTAGTTAAAGATTTGTTGTCTGTCCCTCGGCCCGCTAATGATCCTCCGTATTCTGCTGCAGTAATTGATCAAGTGTCCCTTCTTGTGCTCTCGTTTACTATATTTTGCGGTAATCATAAAGAGACGAAATCCTTCAAATAACGCTTCTCTTTGCTCGTCTTACTAATACATAAAGCAAAGTCGCTAAAACCGTTGTAATCGCTAACCGCGAAGACTACTGAACCGATTTTGCTGAAATTTTGCGTACCGATTCTTGACACTTCCTAGATGGTTTTAGTATGGTTTTTATCTTGAAAAATTTAATAACAATAGCAACAAATAAGCTCAAAGTTTTGCAAAAATACGCCAGCTTTTCACTTTAGTTCAGTAGCATCCACTAGGTAGCATCGACATAAAATCAAAGCTACCTGCAACAGAATGAAATAAGTGTGGTTATAATAGGCCGGAGCGTCGCAAATTTTTCTGGAATCGTTGTCTGTCAGTTCATCGAGCTGCATTGACAATATAGCTGGAGTCGTGCAGCTTCATATCCCGGTTACCGATGACGCTCTTCTCCAAAGGGGAAGTGATCTAGGTCTTCACTTTAACCTGGAACCTTCAGAATTGATAAGTGCCACTAATGAAAAAGTAATTTTAACCGATAACGTCTGCGGCGCAATACCAGGTGACATGTCTAGCCAGATCACATCCTGCTCCGACACTTTAGAGTTATGTGGCCGTACCACAATCTGGCCTGGTGCCGTCAGAGAATTATTTACTACAAATATAAGCCCGGGAAGACAGCCCTAAAGAGTACGGGCAGCCACAACTGCCAACTTCTTAGTGGTCGTTCCAACGGCATACCTACAGAGAAAGTATTCACCAGGCCCACTTTCCCGACTAACGATGAGTGGTGGTTATTCGGGCAACGACCTGAAGACGAGATATATTTTGATCAGCGGCTTATCTCCCTCATGTACGGTCTCCGTACACAGAGACTCCAAGGGTAAGAGTCAAGCTACCCACAGCTGGCTCTCCATCATCAAGCATAATAATAAGGAATAACTAGTAATTTTACCACTGGCCTTTTTCAGGGCCAATATAAGTATTTACGTTCATTACTCAACCTTTAATCTCATTGGTTGTTTTAAGAGCCCCCTAAGTGTAAACTACCGTGCCAACAAATACATTCTTACTACCATTTCCGGAAACATTATTCGTCGACTAAAAGACTACGTAAAGCCGGTCACTATGAAACCAAGTTATTCTTTCACTGGAAGTTGTCACAAGGGGAGTTATTCGTTGCAAAGCTGGGAACCCCGGTGACCGACGACCCTATATTACCCTCTCGACTCTAAGCATTCAACCAGGTATCACCGATCCTCTCCAAGGTCTGTGCTGGGCGTACCTAACAGCTTTGAAGGAAAAAAGAATTCGAGCCAACGAGAGTCTCCAGCAGGCAAGCATCACGAACCAATCTCTACTAATCTCTCCACCTTAGACCATCAAAACAACTGAGTTTGCAAAAAAAAAGGTGCTTTAGACACCACTGTCTTCGACGTTATGCCAGGAGACGTTGGGAAAGAGCACTGCAACTAGCCCCAATGCTTCGGACTTTGTAATTTTTCTTTCGATCAGTCTAGGGCTTTAATAGCAGGCCAGAGAGAATCAGCCTGAAGTATCCAGGCTGTCACAATTGCTATAAACTTTAGTCGAGAAAGAGTTTACTTAAAAAACTCACCGGTCTTTTTTAGGGCAATCAGACGTCGAACTACCTTGCCAACAAATATATTAGAACTTAAAAAAATTGACAGCTAATAGCCTTTAGGGGTCACAAAAGTCGCAAGAGGGTGAATTGGAAGGAAAACTTCAAATATATCTAATGAATACAATTTTAGGCGTCAAGAAACTGACGCAGAAAATTTATCGAGATTGGAACAGCAGCCTCAAAATCGACAAATAAAGAATCCATTACGTGACAGATCAGCTTTTCATTTTACCCTCACAGTAATCTCCTAAATCTTTAAAGATCCAAATTTAGGTTTTTAAATAAGAAGAAAATATATTTGTATTTTTGTGGCAATAAAAAATGTAGAGATTAAGCTCCAGGACTTTGTTGCTCTGGTAATAAAGTTGTGAGATAAGAGAAAAAAAATATGTTAAAAAAAATTTTTTTCTTCTTATCTCACAACTTTATTACCAGAG